CGTCGTCCAGACCTGAACCTGAATGAAATGCGGTGGCGGGACCTTAAGAGAGCTGTGCATAAATGTTGTTGTTCTTCTCTGGTTAGAATTTGAAAAATTAGAACCTTGTAAACACAAAATTATTTTTTTATGATTATTTCCCAAATGCATAAAACCTTAGAATTAAAAAAGGACAAACTGTAACAATTGTAGACTAAAATGTACACTACAGCTTGAAAATCTTTTTTTTTAATTATACACAGATATTTGCACCACATAGTTGTTAAACAAATATGAACCACATTACAGAAAATGAACTCTGTTACATATTGAAGAGTTTTTATTGTAAATGATTTAAAGATGTTGTTATGTCTGCACGACATCTACCTTTGGGCTGTTATAAGCTTTTTGGACAAATAAACTATATTATTCAATATTTTAAGTGAATGTGATCACAGCATGCGGTAAATACACAAATCCATATAAATGACAGTCACATAACTCATGTCTGAAATGAATGAACTAGCATGCCTGCCTCACTGTAATTCTTAATGTGAAGTTTGCACATTTTCACGTACCTTCTCTAACAAATTCAATTGTAGCTTCTTAAAACAGGAACATTATATTTCATCCATAATTACCACACACTGTACAAAGCAATTTAAACTCTGAGCTACAGCAGTGATTGCCTGTTTGTTGTGATCTATATGCGTAAATCTCAGTTTATATTAAAAGGATAAAGAAGCTATTTTTGTCTGCTTACTCATTCAAAAGGAATCGCCGCAGCAGGTAGCTCTGCATGTTTGATTTGGCAGATTTCTTTACATTGGATAACCTTCCTGACGCAGCCCCAAAGGGATCTGTGTCTCTTCCTAGGATTGAAGCGGGCAGTTATATTGCCGGGATAAGGTAAATAAATATATATCTGGATTTGTCCATATAGTAATACATTTTTGGATGGAGGATATGTTTCATAGCATCTATGAGAAGCTCTGTATCTGTGAGAAAACAATGTTTATCAAGTAATACAAGCTGAGGAAGTCAAGTTATGCTCCTGTCACAGGGTACTGGGGAGAAAACGTGCCAGGAGTCACTATTTAAAAAAAAAAAAAAGAAAGATTAAATTGGTTAGTCTCTTCTTGGCTTCCACAGCCTGAAGGAATGGGTCAAAGTGAATCTTGGACAACACTTTCCACGATGAGTCTTCGTAGCCTCTGGCTCATCCCCATGAGTCTGACCAGGGACAAATCAAAGATCTCATTTGTGCCACTGGAGTGTAGAGTATGTCTTGCAATAACATCCACAATGAAATGAAAAGGTGCTGATAACAATTTCTAAGGACAAGTCTCTCCTTTTCTTCACTTGGACGATTTATATGTAAGAATTCTAAAAGATTTTAGACATTTTTAAGCAGCACGGTGGCACGGTGGTTAGCACTGTTGCCGCACAGCAAGAAGGTCCTGAGTTCAATTCCACCATCAGTCTTTCTGTGTGGAGTTTGCATGTTCTCCCCGTGTTTGCGTGGGTTCCCTCCGGGTACTCCGGCTTCCTCCCACCGTCCAAAGACATG